AACCACCCCTAGATATACTTATTTTGTCCAGGTCATCTTGAAGGGCATGACAATCATCTAAGTTTCTTATCCTTCCTATTATCATAGCATCATCAGCAAACATGTTCATATAATTCTGTGCCTAGAGTGTGGTGTCTGTCTTCTAGGTGATGTGTGAGCCGGAAGTGAGTCTCCAGTACTCGGGCTGCATGCACCTAGAGTTGGCTTCCCTAGGTGCCCTGTAAGTACTGCCCTTGGAGCTTGGGGTTGCCTTCCCCAAGTTCCTTGGGTTCTGCTTCTACTAGGCCATCTACTTATTGGTTTTTGGCCGCCCTTTGTGTGATGGGGGTTCTGTCTTCCTTGTTTGCCTTAGGGTAAAGGGCAGTTTGCACTGGTAGGGGCGCAGGGTACTGTGCAGCTTGTTTTCACCAATCATAGCGGCCGACTCTGTTCCACCTGGGTACGTTGTCTTCGTGCGGGGTTTTCTTTTTCCTCTTATAGTAAACGTTCAGAACCCTGGGAAACCCCTAGCAGGAGCATGGGCCCGATGGATGTGGCCCCGGTGTCCCCCCTTCGCTTTGTGCGAGTTTGAGGGTTGCTCTGTCCTCTTGTCTCAGAGTGACACTCGCTGTTTTGTCTCCGTCAGCTGCCTGTGGGGTCGGTGACACCTTCGGCCCGGGGTCCTGCGAGTTTTGTTGCTTGCTATGGCTTGGTTACCCAGTCTTCTGCTGACTAAGTGGGTGCAGGCAGCACAAGCGTTGCACGTTAAGTGTCGGTGGCAGTGTGCTAGGTTGTTTGCTCCCCGGAAGCCCCGAGGCTGCCCCTTTTTTGGTTGGTGATCTTGTCGGGTCCCCCCACCCTTCCTTCCTGCATCCGGATCTTTACCGTCTGTAGGTTCAGGGTCGGGGCGGGGCTTCCATGGTTTTGAGACTCGGTTGGTCTCGGGGAATTCCTCTTCTGGGGTAGCGACGGGGGCATTCGAGCCTGTTCCTCCAGCCGTGTTGTACGAGTCTGCCAGTGGACTCCCTCCCTTTGTGTGTTTCACGACTGCCCCGGTTTTTCTTGAGGCTGGGGCTTTGGGGGGGACAGCTCGGCCTCGGGGCCTGCCGTGTGGGTGTGTAATCCAGGTATTCTTGGAAAGATCTAGGAAAAGCTCGGTGACAAAATTCTGTCCTGCATCACTCATATTTTCACCTGTATATAGGAAAGTGGGTGCATCTATAAAAATTGAAGATGACAAGGGTGGGCATGGGTGGCACTCAGCTACTACTAGATACGCTCACTGTATTATCCTCATTGGTGGTGTATCACTTGTATCCGACCCTTGTGTTAGGTCCTTATTGTGCCTAGATTCATCAATTTCATGACCCTTACGTTAGTCAAACAATAATGTCTGTTTTTCACCGACAGAGCGCGATCTTTCAACACCACGTCAAACAGGGGTTGGGAGCCAGAGGCGTGTGCGCTCCACATGGTTGCTCACTCAAAAAGGATACAGCCAGCAGTCCTAGGGAAATCTGAGATTTCCAAGATGGCTGCCTCTCACTAAGTCCCAGGAGTCCATTTCATACTGAACCAACCGCAATCGCGTTTTGAATGGGTAAGAAATCTAAAATTGGCGTTTTCTTGGCCGGTGCAGTTTTAGGTGAACGAATTTTTTCGGCCAGCGCAGCACAGTGTTTACGTTACCCAGAATTAGTCAAAATTGACTTTGTTTCAGAAGCATTTTGGCTATAGACCAGCATTACAATTATAAGTGAATAATTTAAAATTATTTACAAAATAAAAAATTACCAGAGAAACGTTATTAAGCAGTAAGTTCTAACAACTAAAAAAATACTAAATATTAAATTATGGTCTCCATAGTATTGGAGCATCAGTATCATCTAATTGGTTAGTATGTACTGTAGAGTACAGTATAGGTATCAGCCAAAATTTGGGTATTGGTACTGTACATATGTAGGTGAAAAGTCAAGTGATGGACTGGGAAGGAAGTGTCGGGTGGAGTGTGTCTGGTGTAAGGGAAGTGTCAAGTGGGTGGAGGGGGAGATTTTTCTGGTTGGGGGAGGAGGGTAGGGTGTTGGATAGGAAAGGAAGGAAGATTTGTCGGGTGGGGGATTGATCGGATGAGAGGGAAGCGAAAGCCAAGAGTGAGCGAGGGCCAAGAGTGAGCGAGAGCCAAGTGTACATGGTTTAGAGCTTGGAATATTGCTTCAACAATTCCTGGACTGCCACAAAAACAACATATCAGCTGCCGAGCTACACGTAAATTTTGAAATGATTTGAAACAAATTTTTCTGTAAATAGAAAGTCAAAGTACACATGTTAAAGTATCAGCAGTATCGCAAGAAATTTAACGATACCCTGGTACAGCTGACGATTCACCTCAACTATTCCAGTCAAAATCTTGTGTACATTAGACAGCTGTTTCCAACATGTACTTAAGTATACTCACTTGAGTTGAGGTGTGCCGATCCCTTTCCTCTGTCATGTCTGGATGGCTCATAGGCATCACTTACTGCTGAATTGCAGAAGTCAACTCAGAAATTGTTTAGCAATTTCATTTCCAGTTATAAAAGTGGTAATTATATCAACCTATCAATTTAACCAAAACTGTTTATACTTTGTTCCCTTAACCAAATGTCTTTCCAAAACGGAGGCCCCTTACTGAGAATCTTCCCCATCAACTGCTTTGGTTATTATACAAGCAAAGCAAATGCAACTACATATTTCACACTACAAAACAATAATTGCTGGCAAAAATTAGGGTCTGTCTCACCTAATGGTGTACAGTATATACAAGTATGAAAGATAGTAAATGCCAGTGAATGTGGCAAGTGCCACATTCCTGAAAAAGCCATCAACGGTAGAACAGTAGAGCATCCCAAATAACATCAAACACAGCACCATTACCATGTCAACTGAAGCCAGCTAGTCCATCACCCAAACAATTTTGTCTTGCCACGAAAGTTTATGGCAGTTGCATTGGTGGTGTGGAATGAAAAGTCCAATACGGTATTTCTATCATATCTCCTGGATCTTACAGCAAGCCTAGCTGTAAAGCAAATCCATCATAATACAAAAATCAAGAGCAAATTCCAAAAGCAGAATAACTTTTTAAGAACAATGCATTTTTCTCTCAGAAAAGAAATATCAAACCACCTCTTATGACACTGTGTTTATAGCTCTAAAGAACACAATTTTGCAGTGAAATAAAACCAAGAAAAGGATACATGATTAATTCTAAGTGTCTAAAAGAATGGAAATGTCAAACAACAAACTGAAAGACAATATGACAGTCTTGTTAATTATTAACTTTACAAACTATGTAAATATTGAAATTACCTATTAAAAAAAAAATAGCATTGAATGTAATGAAATATCTTTCTGGTACAGCCTTTGTGGCTCCCTAAAGCTATCTCGCTACTGAGTCACATTAGTGATAGGAGTTATGGTCAGGTTTAACGGGGACCAGAGCCAGAATCAAGTCCCACTCACACACACAGGAGCTGGGGATTGTTATGATCAGCATGGAGAGAGCATCCAGAAAGTAAAAGAAGAAATACTATACAAACAACCACAAGGGTTACAGAAAATGAAGCGCCAAAACAGCCAAATGACACTGCAAATAATTTATTCAAACTAGCTTGCGTCTCTTTGTGCAAAAGGCAATCAACACATGACACCCTGGGAGCTCCAGGCTTGCAATTATTAATGAGTCGGTTTGGAGCCGAGAAACTACAAATTGATGCACCTGGTAGGAGGGAGAGGGGAGGATAATGGAGCCACTGTGGCTCTACCAGAAGAAGGTGCTTCATTACATTTAATGCTGGTTTTCTGGAGAAGTCTCTTGGTGTCTTCCTGAAGTTATCTAACATCATATTACAGAAAACATGGGACTTATCAGGAAGGAGGAAAGTGGTAACTACACACCCGAAGATGAGATGCTGGGCAGGGAAACTTGACCCAGTTTCTACAATATGGAATGACTGGAACCAAAAACAGTGACCAGATACTGAGCCACCAAGACCCAGATATACCTCCAAAACTCCTGAGTCTACTTATCAGCTCATGACACTATAGCAAATACAGCAGCTAATGCTGCAATCTTGTGAACATTGCAGGTCCAAGGGTAGACTGCAGGCTGGTTAGCTGATAGAACCATGCAAATAAACTGGTATAAACATTCTCTGGAACAAAGGAAACCAGAATAACACAAAGGTGTACCTCAAAGCAGTGGTGCATAAGTATTTAAGAACTATTGCAACCAGATACAACAAAGTTGCACCCACAGCCGAATAAACAAAGCATCAATCACCAAGGGATCCCCCCTCTCAAAGCCAACCATCTCATACTTTTCCAGAAAAAGAGAAGGCTGAAAAAAAAAAAACTGCCCACTAGGGCCGAAAGAACAGAACCCGCACTTCCGGAGAATAGCATAAGGCTCCCCAATCTGACAGAGGCAACAATGAACCAAGGTAAGGAAAGAAATATCAACACACTACCAAGAGACCAAAATGGCTTTGGAGGGAAGTGAAGCTGGCTAGAAGTAAAAGAAGACACCAAGACAACTTTCAAAATGGCACCAAGGAAATATCAGTGCAGAATGCCAACAACAGTGGCTCTGCCAAACTCAAATGATAAGAGGTGACAGTATTAGGCATAAGATGCCTAATCAATAAAGAAACAGGAAAACAACCAGTGTTGAATGTAATGAAACTCCATTTTCTGGGCGAGCCCCGGAGGCTCCCTGGAGCTTATCGGGCTAATGTATGTTATGTTAGACCGGGACATTACCTATGGAGTTCAGACCTACCAGGGACCAGCGCCAGAACCTGGCCCCTTCAGAGAGGCTTCAGGAAGCAATGGCCCTGGAAAACCCCATTATGGTTGGGGTTTTTCCTTATCTGCCATCGACCGGGGTTAGGCACCCAGAAAGGTAGGCGTAACAAAACAAACCCTACATGGTAAGAAACAACAACAAAAACCGAACAGAAAGGTAGAAACTCCCTACAATCCAAAGGAAACAATCAATCAATTTACTGCCGCGCCGGTCGTCTGTGCAGCCCTCCCCCTACCCGGGAGGGGGAGGGGGGGCCCCAGACCTCACCACGCCGGCTGCCTTCAGTTAGGAAACTAGGCTTCAACCAATGCGAAAAACCCCGCCGACTGGATGGAAGGGAGTGTAGCCAGGGAGCCTCCGGGGCTCCCCCAGAAAATGGCGTTTCATTACATTCAACGCTGGTTTTCTGTGGGGAGCCCCTACGGCTCCCTGGAGCTACATACCCAAAGAGAAGGAAAATAGGGACTTACCCGGGAGGCGGCAACCACAAACTCCTCAACGCGAAGTCAAGACAACTGGCTGCAACCTGCGACCCAAAGCAACACAAGAACGCCGAGGAGCAGGGACGTTCACCAAATAAAGGGCGGCCAGGACCCTGTTTGACTTCCAAAATCCATGCGCCAAAATATGTGCCCAAGACATATTACCAAACACGGCAGCCAAAGCTGCAAACTTCCGAACGTGATGGGAGCGAGGATAGACCGCAGGCTGGCTAGACTTAATTAATAACCCTGCGGACAACCTGGGAGACCCTAGCCCTGGAACAGGGAACGAGGAAAACCGGATCAACCCAAAGCGCATCCCCAGCCACCCCGGCTGAAGCGCACCAGTAACAGCGAAGTGCTGCAACCGGACACAACACATGATGCACCCCCAGCCGAACCAACCAAGCATCAATGACTCACGGACCCCTCCGGAAAGCAGCCATCTCGTTCTTCGCCAGAAAAGATGGAGAAGGCTGCAAACGGACAAACCTACCCCCAGGACCAAAAGAGTAGAAACCCCTGCGCCGGAGGAGAGCATGAAGCTCCCCTACCCGGCCCCCAGAGGCCAATGCCAGTAAAAACAAAGCCTTGGAAAAACAATCCGGAACTGAAGGGGCCACCACAAACCGAGGAGAGGAAAGATACGAGAGCACCCTGTCCAAGGACCAGGACGGCTCAGGCGGCGCATGAGCAGGCCGGAGGTGAAACATAGTATGGGAAAGCTTACGAAACGGGGTGGATGCGACGTCCACCCCGAAAGCTAGCTTGAGCGGCTCCGCCAGCGCCGCACGATACGAGGCGACAGTATTAGGCATCAAATGACGGTCCAGAAAAAGCCAAGAAAGAAAGGACAAAACAACCCGATCCGAAAGAAGAGACAACCTACGAAGAGCCAAAAAATGGCGAAAAGACAACAAAGCTCTCAGGTGGGACACCATCAACGAAGCCACCTGATCACCACAGAATTGGTGATACACCCGCGTCAAAAAGACCAGACGCGAAGAGCAGAGGAGAAGGTCGAACCAGCCCCGTACCGGATCGGACCGACCTATTGAAAGAGGCGGAGCCGCGGGAAACGTCCCGGGTTCGGGCACCGAGCCAATAGCACCGGAAACCAAGGCTGGGCCGGCCACCAAAGGGCCACAAGGACTACTCTCCCCGGGAATGTCTCCAACGAACCAGAACCCGAAGCAACAGCTGAACTGGGGGGAAGAGGTACAGGTAACCCCACCTCGACCAGTCATGCCGAACGGTATCCATCGCGAATGCCTCGCAGTCGGGGAAGGGCGTCACATAGATTGGGAGACGCCGAGACCACGCCGACGCAAAGAGGTCCACATCTGGGAGACCGTACGTCTGGCAGATCCAACGAAACGAGTCGTTGTCGACCGTCCCCTCCGTGGACAGGGGATGGAAGCGAGACAGACCATCTGCCAGAATGTTGGACACTCCCCGGACATGATCCGCACAGAGAGCCAAACCGAGAATCCAGCAGACAAACCACTCGAAGGAACCAACCTCAAAGAACCAAGGACCGAAGATAACCCCAGCGGTTCAGGCAATGAATCACTGGAGAACAGTCCGAATGGAGGCGAATGGTCGATCCCCGAGTGACCCGAACCCTCCGAAGCGCGAACCAGACTGCCGCGAACTCCCGAATCGTGCTGTGAGCCCGACGGAAGGACGGACCCCACCGTCCCTGGCCTGCCTGGTGAGCACTGGTCACAAAGCCCCAGCCGAGAGACGACGTGTTCGTGAACACGTCGAGCGAGGGCTCGGGAAGGCGCCAAGGCACCAAACCCCGAAAACCCCAAAGAGGAAGCTGGCGACGCAGCAACCGACACAAGGCCCCCGGAGGACGAACCCAACGATCGCAAGAGGGGCAGAAGGGATGTCCCCGAAGGAACCAAAACAGATGCCGAAGCCAAACCCGATCAGGCGGGCAGACTAGCACGGCGAAGTTCAGACTCCCACACAACCGCTCGAGCAACCTCCGAGTGACCCAGGACCCCCCTGAGAAACAGCCAACAGCGGTCCCACAGCCGTCACAATGCCTCTGGAGGGAGAGACAAGGAAGCGGTCCAAGAATCCCAAACAAGACCCAGCCAGGTCCGAACCTGGCGAGCTGGGAAAGGACCATATCCCTGGCGAGCAGACAAGCTGACCGACTGGGAGCCCACACCAGCCAGTTGT